TATATATATATATATATATATATATATATATAAAACAATGGAATATTATTTGACCCTAAAAAAGAATGACATTTAGCCATTTGCCACAACATACAGGAGCGTGGAGGACATTAAGCTAAGTGAAATAAGTCAGACACAGAAAGAAAAATATTGCACCATCTCACTTAAATGTAGAATCTTAAAAATAAAAATTCCAATATACAGAGATAAAGAACAAAACAGTGGTTACCAGGGGTGGGGGCAGGGAATGGAGGAAATGGGGAGATTGTAGGTCAGAGAATACAAAGTACCAGATATGTGGGACAATAAGTCTCTTAGAGAGCTAATGTACCACATGAGGACTATAGGTAATAGAATTGGCACTGTATGTGGGTTTCCTGTTGAATGAGTAGATTTTAGCTGCTCTCACGACAAAAACAAATAGTAACTATTTGAGATGATGTATATGTTAGTTTGCTTCACTGTAGTAACCTTTTTCCTATCTATAAGTATCCTACAAAATCATGTTGTATGCCTTAAATATACAAAATAAAAAATTTTTAAAAATTCCTTCTCTTACTAGTATATTGTAAAAATTAAATAAGATAGATAATGTTTATCAAAGTCCTTTGGAAAATGCTACTCAACTGTAGAATTGTTATTAAATAATCCACAGGAAATAACAATTAGCATGTCTTGGTTGCTTAAGCAATTGAGAAATAAGTTAAAATTGACCTAGATCTGTCTCCTTTTTTACTATGCCAATTATACATGCCAGAACACTTCTCAAATGGGGGTAATACAGGGTACTTAGAAAAAGTTTGTAGAAAATTGAATTAAAAGATAATAAGAACCTGAATCCTTCTGTGAACTTTTTGAAGACCCCTCATACATCCCCTATGGAGGGAGTGTTTTGGGTTGTTATAGTGACAGGCACTAAGAAATCGTTATTATCAAAATATATTTCACAATAGAATACAATAGTCATTGAACTCAGCATGATTAGAGATATATAATTCCATGAACCCAATTTAAAAGATGACTTGAGAGTTATGGGAAATGGCAAACATAAAATCATTTTACAAGAAAGTTCAAAAACAAATGTTTGACAGCACTGCAGAGGAATTTTTTTTGTTTTTGGTTCCTAAAGGCAGAAGATGAGTTTGTGTACTGGCCAAGTCGAGAAGAATCCATGAACTGTGAGGCCTTTACTGTCACCCTTATCAGCAAAGACAGACTGTGCCTCTCTAATGAAGAACAAATTATCATCCATGACTTTATCCTTGAAGCTACACAGGTAACTAAACCTCAGTTCTCATTAACAGCCACACCTGGGTCCTGGATCATACTTGTAAGTAATAATGAAGTAATTTACCACCCTCAATATAGGCTCAGGCATTTGAGTATGACTTAATTTTAAATATGTACATTTTCCTCTTTCTTCCTTCAAATATTTGCTTTTTCCAGATGGCTAGATGAAATGTAACAGTTCCTCTGATTCAGCATGTATACAAATAGGTGTGTTGACCTAATTATAAAAACAACATACTAAAGCTCAGTATTTTCTTTGCCATCAGAAATGTAAGCTTTGCAATGTGTACCAAAAGTGTTAATTTTTTTTCTTAAGTAAACAACATTTTGATGTGTAATAACTGCCTTTGGGTGGGACGGATGGGGGGAAGGGGACTTTCTTATATTAGTAATTTAAATGATGATCCCCTAACCCCTTCCTTGCTTTTTAAAAAAAAATACATAAATAAGAAGATAGAGTAGGCTATAAAGTCTCTTATAACTTATCACTGCTTGAAATTTTTGCCTGAACAAAATGAGATTCTTCTGTTTCACTAGGATGATCTGCTTATTTTCTAAGGGCAGGCAGACCTCCCCAGTATTTTCTTCTTACCAGCTTCAGTTTGGTTAACCTGACATTGTTCAGAGTTATCTATGATAATGTGCCTACTCAGGATCAAGTTCTAGGTAGACTGTATAATATGAAATAAAGGATAGAATATGACTCATGTTGTATTGATTATAGGATGACTATGTCCTAGAAGTTCGGCACTTTCAGTGTCCCAAATGGCCTAACCCAGATGCCCCCATAAGCAGTACCTTTGAACTTATCAACGTCATCAAGGAAGAGGCCTTAACAAGGGATGGCCCCACCATTGTTCATGATGAGTATGTACCTGTTTTTTAATCTTAAAATTTGGACATTTTTCTTGTTGAATTGTTATAGTAGCAGAAAAGGAAGACAGAATTTAAAAGCCTACCCACCTCTCAGCTTATTTCTGATGAGTACATGTGCGAAGTGTTGGGGTTCTGTTTACATTTTAATATGTCAAACTCTTCCAAGGCTCTAGGTTCTTCTAGAGTGTTATGTTTTAGAAAATGAAAGCACTATATCTTACCCTACAAAGGTAGACTTGCATGCTTTTTAAGATTTTGTTTTAATAATAAATAAATTAATAATGTAATTAACTACTTACATTAATTAAATACTTACATTCATTTTAAAATCCTTACACTGAATTTCAGCAAACACTTGTTAGGGAAGGTACCTCTTAAAATATGGTTTAGTTGATTATAGGGATAAAGTTACTATTATTAATGATAATATATATACTTTATGATATGTTTGAAAGTTTATAGTACTGCCTTTTGGGATTTAAAGGTAAAGAATATGAATCTCCAAAAGAACAAGTTACTTGCTTGTGCCTGGTCTCAGAGCTTCTAAGTGTCAGAATAATTTTTAAACCCGGCCCTTCAAATAAGAAGGAAAGGGTCCTAGATATACCTTATGGTATGTATATGGATATGTGGAGTCAAACTTCATGGCTGGAATCAACCTGTAAGTCAGTTGTGTAACCCTGAATCATTTAGACTCTCACAAATCTGTAATCAATATGGAACCAATTATACATCCTCATTTCTACTTTAGTTCCAAGGTAGCTCCCTTGGTCAGCATATTCTCAATGCATCCATTATGTTCATTAAATTACCAACTACTCTAGTAGCATAAGATATTAATAAATTTGAAGGTAAAGTTTATTGTTAAGTCTTTTTTGTTTTCCTTGAACTAATGTTGTAACATGAAGCGTTAACATGTAACAAAGACTTGAGCCTAGGTCATCTCCTTTACCTCAAATCCTAGAACCCTCCTACTTAAAGTAAGCCATATTATTGGCTTCTTCCAAAGAGTTCTGTGGTCTTTCCTAGGAAATAGTGACTATTTCAAAATGTCAGACTGACTCTTAATTAGTAAGATTAAAAAATTAAGATTAGAAAAGTATTAGAGTTGAAGCAGTAATTAAATAACACACTAAGATCCCCAGAAATGTGACAATGCAGCAGTGGTTAAAGAGCACAGTCAGCTTCAAAATAAATGGGCAATTGCTATTGATCTATGAAACTTTATGGTATGCGGTTATAGCATAAAATTAGTGCTGCTTCTAAAGTTCTTCCCTCACAAATCTGGATCAGCTTTTCAAATGTGTTCTGGGTTTTACCAGCTCTTACCAGTTTAGGCCAGTTTCTAAAGTTTGCTGCCCAGTTCTGTGACTGATTTTGTTACGGTGGTACTCTGAGGAATTCTGTCCTGAAGTCAGTAATGCAGCTAATCTATTTAATGGTAAGGAAAGAGGGAAAGAAAAACAACACCAACAACCAGTTAAACACTAAACAGAACTGTTTGATTAAACTTATCTGTATTCAGCTTTGGGGTATATTTGTCTTACTTATTCAGTGATTTTTATGTCACATGCTGAATATGTCACCTCTGAAATTAATGAAATGTAGCTTGTTCTTAGGTCTAAATACAAAAAATGGAAATTAATTCTAAACCAGTGGCTCTAAAAATATCATATAAGTGAGCTGTGTTAAAAGCCACCTATAGAAATGTGTCAGTTCATTTATCTACCAACTGTGGGGGATAAGTTGATTCTGTAGAAAGTATTTTTCCACATTACTCAAGAACAACTTCAACATTTTTAAATGGTTTCTAGCTCTAGTGCAATACTCTGAACACCAGTTACTTTTCCATCTCCACCTTACTTTCTTTTCTTACCTCTAAACATCTCTTTCTGATGGCCTGTAAACTCCACAAATGCATCATGTCTACAACCAAACTCATCATGTGCCCTGCCTACTCCCACCCGTGGCACAGGCACAGCCCAAAGGCAAACTGCTTCATTCTCAGCATCTTATATTCACCTGTTTAGGACTATTCTGAAGAATAATTTCCTGTGCAAATACTTAATTATTCACTCTGGAGATATATCTCACCCTATTGGATATCGTAGTAGGCTAATTTCATTTAAGAGTTCTCAAAATGTGATCGAGGACCACTGGGGGAAGGGTGGTATCTCCAAGGCCTTTCCAGGAAGATTCAAGACATCAAAACTATTTCCACAATAACACAAAGATACATTCAGTCCTGAATGTATGATAGAGTTTTCCAGAGCTACGTGATATCATCACTGTCAAAACTAATAGAATGTGTGCTTGCGTGTTCTTTTACGAGGGTACTTCAAAAAGTTCATAGAAAAAATAGAATTAAAAGATAATACGAATCTTACCGTGAACTTTTTAAAGTGCCTTGTTTTGTAACATTTTCTCAGTTTTAATTTCTAATAATAACAAATATTGATAGATACAGCCCAAAGAAGCAAAAGCTGTTTGGAGATCCTCAATAATTTATTTTATTTTGGTCCTGAGATCAAAGGATCTGAAGACTACTGAGATATTCTATAAGAGGCAGAAATATATGGACTGCTTTCCATACTAACTGCTGCAAAGACACCCACAAATCATAACTAATTCAGTTATTTCTTTAAATCTTCAAAATTACCCCACTAGAAAATTAATTTTAGGATTCCCACCTTCACATAAGAGAAAACAGACATAGGGAAGTTAAGTAACTTGCCTAGGACCTGTGTAAACATATAGTTAGTGTCAGTGCAGGATCAGCTGTGTATTTTGTGGGGTACAATGTAAAATGAAAACTCAGTGCTCCTTGCTCAGAAATTATTAAGAATTAATAATCTCCAGATGGCAACAGGAAAGGAATAAACTAACTGCAGGACCCTTCTGAGTGCACTGGCCCATTGAGGCACAGGGCCCTATACAACTTCACAGGTGGCAAGCCAGGGAGCTGGCCCTGGTCATAGTCACATACATATCTGTCTAATCGCAGTGGTTAACACTGCCTTCCACAGTAAGCATTCCTGCACTCCTCTTCCTTGTTTCTTAAGAGCATGCTTTAATTTTTTTTCCTACTTTATTTTCTCATTCGCTGCCCAAGTTTTAATTTTTTAAAGCCCTGTGGAAGGCTTTTGTGTTGACATTTTTCCCCAGGATTGATACATATGTAAGCTTTAGTACTTGGTTTTCCTTCTTGCCCCACTAATTTCCAGGGGAAACTTCACTTTCTTCACAGTGACAGGGTTATAACTGGATATCACTCTTCGTTATGATTTTAAAACCACAGTCTTAAAAACAAAGCCAGGGGCCGGCCCGGTGGTGCACTGCTATAGTGCGCCGCTTGGGAAGCGCGGTGGCGCTCCCGCCGAGGGTTCGGATCCCACATACAGACTGGCCGCTCACTGGCTGAGCGAGGGGCGGGAGCAACACCGAGGGTTGCGTTCCCGTGGCCGGTCCCGGTCCGGTACGGGCGCGACACTGAGGGTTGCGATCTGTTGCCGGGCACGAAAAAAGACAAAAAAAAGGAAAAAAAAAAAAAAAACAAAGCTAAATAATTGTAAATAGTTATATGAAATGGTAAAAAAATATGATTAAATGGCTGTAGATACTATGCTTACTGACTATACAAGGAACCCAATGTGTTTTATAATGAATATAGGCAGAACACTTAAAAATCATTACTGTATATCAGGAATTTAAAGTACTTTGATTTCTTTTGTAATTCCTTTGAGACATAGGCAGGGAAAGATGAAAATACTTTTGGTTTTTTTCTTAACAGCACTAGTTAAACAAGCATTACTTTTAACATCTTTACAGCCTAATTGTGTAGGTGCTTCCTCTTAATTTAAGTGTTTTAAGAGTGTCTAATAGGAAAGGCAACCCAAGGAAAGGCCAGAGTAATCCCACATGGAGCGCACACTCTAAAACAAAGATACATGTTACCTGACTTGTCTATTTGACTGGCTTTAAAAAAGAGCCAAGGGCGGGGAAATAAGTTGCAGCGGGTGGGGGACTGGGATCCTGAGTCTAACTGTTTCACTAGAACATATTAAAGCAAAGGTTAAATTCTTCCCCTCCTGAACAAAATTAGTACAAATGATTTTTTTTTTAAATACCATGTTAAAATGAGGTCAACTCAGTACAATATAGAATCTGAGGAAAGACAACATGACGAACAAGAACCAAAAAACACAATGAATCAGAGTTAATAGAGCAATCACAATAGGATATTAAAATGATATGCTCAGATATCCAAAAGATTTTATGAAACAGGAACAAATTAGAGCCTAAAAATAGAAAAACATATATATATATATATATAATTTATGAAATTAAGAGACGGGCTAGTAGTGGAATGGAGAGCACTGAAATAAAACTAGGATATGGAAGCTAGATACAGAAGTTCTAACATATTATCTAAAAGATGATCCATGGGGAGATAAAAGATAAGTTAAAGAAGAAGTAATACTAGTAGAGGTTTCCTAAGAATTGAATAAGGAGTTGAGTTTTTAAACTGAATGATCAGCATACATTTGAACAGTAGCATTCAGAGAGAAGGTTTGAATGCCACAATTAACAAGCCTAATGTAATAGTGATATAGAGACATCTGCACCCAAGAGAGACTATATGAAGAGACCTATAGTCTCTTCAAACACAAGTGGTTTATTTATATAAACTGACCTTAAATAGAATTTCAATACTATTGAAATTCTATTCTATTAGAATAGAAATTCTATTCTAATTCAACAACCATATTTGTTCCCACATACAAGTAATTTCAATACGTTCCATACAAGGCCACATTCATTCATTACAGTGCATTAATATTAGAAAACAACAATGAAATAAGATCCCAAATCCTTATACCTAGAAACTGAAATCCTTACATCTAGAATTACCTAAAAATAATTCATGGGTTAAAAAGGTAAGTGAAACAGAAGTTGCAAAATATTTAAGAGGAAATGACAAAGAAGAGGACACTGGATTTCAAAATCTTGTGGGATAGAGACAAACTATTCTCAAAAAAATAAAAATAAAAAAAAAATAAAGTACAGCCTAAACTGCATTTATGAGTATTAGAGAAGAGATTATAAATAAACCAAGCTTTCAGCCTAAGAAACCAGAAAAAGAACCAGAATGCAAAAAATCATACAAGGAATTAAAAGATAAAGCAAACAGTAATAGAATGGAGACAGGGAGGAGAAAATAAAATTTAAGCAGTAAATAAAATTTTACAACTTTGGAATAAATAAAAGATACAACTTTGGAAAATGTGGTGTAGAAAAACTTAGAGAAGGCATGAAGTAACATTAGAAAGGCAAAAAAGTCTCCCATTTATCTGCAGTTATGTTAAAAACTTTGAGAATTGTTAATTTGCTTAGGTGTAATAATATTATGTTTATCCTTTTAAGTCCTTATTTTTTAGAGTTTTATACTAAAATAATTCTGAATAAAATATCTGGATTTGCTTCAAAATATATGGGGGAGGAAATAGAGATGAAACAAGAGCGTCCATAAGCTAGTGATTGTTGTAATTGAATGATGCCTACATGAAGGTTACTGTACTATTATACTTTTGTGTATGTTTAACATTTTCTACAGTAAAAAGCTAAAAATACAGATTATTTTAAAGGAAATAAAATAAACATTTGAGACTATTTATTTGCCACTCTATACTAATATATTTTTAAGCCTAGATAATGAGCATAATAAGATATTTACCAAACACATGGTATGTGCTCTCAGCCATTTACATGTATCAGCTCAAATTTAAGATCTAGTCTCACTCTGAGACCTTGTACAGTTATTTCATCTGAATGTGCCTTGTTTCTTCAACCTCAAATGGAGATAATAGTAGTACCCACAGTACAAACTGAATAAAAGAACAAGTTTTCCAACTGTAGGGTCCAAGTCCTGACCAAACCTACATTTGAACAATAACACATAGAAGATTTAATGCAACCTTTATTTAAACAAACAGGTCTGGCTGGTTAGCTCAGTTGGTTGGAGCATAACACCTGCTGATAACACTAGGGTCCAGGGTTTGATCCCTGTACCAGCTAGCTGCCAAAACAAACAAAGCTAGCACCAGAATGGAAAAGTATAGGCCAGTCTTACTTATTTGAATGTGGATACAAAAATGTAAATAAAATACTGTCTAATAATACCCAATATGTTATATTAAAAGTACTGCACATCATGAAAAAGTAAGACATCTGGTTAAACATCACCAAAAATCTATCAGTGAATTCAGTACATTATTAAAAAGATTTCGAAAAAAAGATATTATGGGCCGGCCCGGTGGCGCACTGCTACAGTGCACCACTTGGGAGCGCGGCGGCGCTCCCAACGAGGGTTCGGATCCCACATACAGACCGGTTCCCGCTCACTGGCTGGGCGAGGTGCGGGCGCAGCACTGAGGGTTGCGATCCCGTTGCCGGTCCCGGTCCGGTACGGGCGTGACACTGAGGGTTGCGATCCGTTGCCGGACACGAAAAAAGAAAAAAAGATATTAGAAAGCATAACACCCATTCATGAAAAGAAAACACCCTTAGCAAGCTAAAAATAGAAAGCATCCTCTTTACCTTGATAAGTGTTATTTACCAGAGGCGTACAGCAAATACTTTTATTTAATATTGAAAACGTAGAAGCTTGACCATTAAAGACATTAAATGATACATGCTCTCAGGGCTAGTACATAAAATTATTTCAGTTCTAGCCAACATAGTAAAAGTAAAAGATATAAGAAGTGTAAAAGTTGAAGGATACAAAACTGGTATTACTGGGATATAAAGACATGGCCAACTACCTAGAACATCCATAAATTATTAGAATTTCAACAGAGTTCTACTGTGTGACTGAAGTATTCTCATGCTGGGAGGAATATGAATAGGTAACAACGACTTGTGAAAGAAATATAGCAATGTCTTTAAAACTAAAAATGGGCATATTTGTGACCTAGCTCTTTTACTCATGGTACCCATGCTGATATGCACACGAACAAACATGCTAAATGTCCATCAGTAAGGAAATGCATAAATCTGGTATGCATACAGCAGATGAAATAATGAGCTGTACTGCATCTGATACACCTAAATCAGGAAGGCTATACCTAAACGTATAACAATTTTTACCTCTGGATAGGTCACCTCCAAAGTTAGAGTAGTGATTAAAAGGGATTGGGGTCTTATTTGGACTTTGGTAAAACGTGTACTATTTTAATCTCATACAAGAATTCATTCGGGAACTACATATTTAACAGTTTTTAAGAGACAATGGGCACAGAGCATCTGAACTCTAGTTTCATTTCTACCAGCACCACCAATGTGAACAAATTCATTTACTCGACCTGTTTTCTCATCACTGATATGGAAACTGTATTCTTACAGGTTCCTGTAAAATATGGAGTTGGCGATCTGAAAAAATCTAAGCCTTTTTTTGTGAAGGAAGGAGAACCATATTTGTTTTTCCAAGGATTTCATAGAATGTGCCTCTCATCTTAAAAGTTCCACTTCAGTGCCAAAAATAATTACTAAATATGAAACTAATTTTGAAAATTCTCTGACCTCATTTTGAGCCATATATTTCCATTCTCTATCCTTCATATTTTGCAAGTTTAATTTAGCTTTTGGGGATTATTTAAAAAAAATTTTTCAAAGCCCTTTACTACTTGCTACTTGTCCAATAGCCTGTCATTAAGGTTCTCTTACATCATTTTTCCTATTGGTACCACCCAACTCATCCCCAACACTACTCCTTCTATAACTCTCCCAAGTCTACTTTTGAACCTCAAGCTAAGTCTGATGAAACAGTTTGGGATATTTTGCATTCATAAACAAATGTCACCTTTATGCTAGCTTCCAAAGCCCTTCCCCAGTCCAGCATTTCATTCATTTTTATCTTCTAGAATAGATGTCAATATAATCTACTTAGTTTCTACGAAAATAAGTGATGGTAGTTTCATTCCAATATATTCAGTCTCTCAGTAAATCTGAAATTGCATCTTTTTTTTCTCTCCCCCAGGTATGGGGCAGTTTCAGCAGGAATGTTATGTGCCCTTACCACCCTATCCCAGCAACTGGAGAATGAAAATGCTGTGGATGTTTTCCAGGTTGCAAAAATGATCAATCTTATGAGGCCTGGAGTATTCACAGACATTGTAAGTAGTTTTCTTATTGGTAAATCTTTACAACTTCAATTGAAATTCAGACCCACAAAAACATTCAGTAAAATCCACATTCTTCATTTGGGGGGGGGTGGAGAATTCTTTCTTGTGGAATCTGTTTTCATGTGGAATTGCTTGATGTACCTCAACAAAACTTTCTAGTATTCAAAGGCAAAAAAAAAGAAAGAAAGAAAGAAAGAAACTCAGACTCATACTTTAGAGTAGTAGTTCTCAACTGGGAATGATTTTTCCCACCAGGAGACATTTGGCCATGACTGGAGAATTTTTTGGTGGTTATAACTGTGAAAGGAGAGAGGTACACTCATATCTAGAGGCCAGGGATGCTGCTAAACATTCCACCGTGCAGAAGATAGCCCTTGACAGCACAGAATGATCTAGCACAGAATGATCTGGCCCAAAATGTCAGAAGTGCTGAGGTTGAGAAACACTGTTTTAGAGCATAGTGTTGTCTAGTTATTAGATATGGATATTCCATTATCTTAATGAACCGTCAACATTGAGAACTGGCTCCAAGCTAACAGAGATAAAGGACATAAGGAACATGATTATAATCCTTGATTATAAAAGATTCAAATGATTTTTTTAAAGTTTTTTAGATAACATTTATGCTATTCCTGTTTTTTCTATTGTAATTTTTACAATTACATTTTTAATTGTGGTATTTCCACCTTAGATGAAATGACTAAGCTGTTCTTTGGCTCAAACTGTTTTCCTCTTGTTTTTCAGGAACAATACCAGTTTGTCTATAAAGCAATGCTCAGCTTGGTCAGCACTAAAGAAAATGGAAATGGTCCCACGACAGTGGACAAAAATGGTGCTGTTCTAATTGCAGATGAATCAGACCCTGCCGAGAGTATGGAGTCTTTAGTGTGACTGGAATCCTGAAAGGGCACTTAATTTGTAAACTTCTGAAGACTGAGAACTTTTTTGAGGCCTTTTTTGCCAGACTCTAGGTTATACAATAACCCAGTTACTTTTTTACACTGATAAAAGTTTTGATATTTATTTTTTGCCATTTTATGTCTTAATGGTATCCTACTGAGCATTTGCACCTCTGTTCATTTCACACAGTGAAACGCAGTTTTACCTAGTTTGCACTATATGATCAGTGTTACTGCCTATAATCTAATACTAAAGCAAACCCTAATATGACATTCCATGACGACATACATGCTACTTTTTAGTTCAGTATAGTGAAGGTCTTTGTTATGCCAGTGAATCTTGATTTTATTATTATTATTATTATTATTATTATTATTGCTGAAGCAGTTGCATTCTACTAGCAGGCAATGCTGTACTTTTCCTCCATCCTCTCCTATTTTTTTGTGGGCACTGTTCAATACTGTATGCCTTCTGTATTTTAATGGAGTGGATGAGCATTGTTTTCTTTTACAGAACAGCAGGCTATTGGGAGCTCCTAAGAAGGTCTATCAACATCATGGCCTTGAAACAGTTCCATTTATGATGGTTAACAGATTAGTTAAGAAATTAGAAGGCTTAAGAGTTGCTTCATGTGAACATCTCTTATTAGTTACAAAGTTATATTGAGTTTCAAAAAATTGTGTCAAAATAAAAGATAAGAAATTAGAAGGCTTAAGAGTTGCTTCATGTGAACATCTCTTATTAGTTACAATGTTATATTCACAGTTTCAAAAAATTGTGTCAAAATAAAAGATAACTCTGTATTACAGCTTTCACAGTAGCTATGTGGACAGTGTGTGTTATTCCATTTTGACTCTCTGAAATAGCTACCCCCTAAAACCAGGGCTATCTTTTACAATAGAGAGATGGCAATATTTTACACAACTCAGTTATACGACCCCTTTAGTACTCCCCATTAATGCTTGGTTTATGATATCATACCTCACAGTAGGAAGAATTAAAATTTTTGCAGGTGTGTAATTTTGAAACTAGTCCTCTAAAAATTCCCTATTATTCATATAGCAATCTAATAAAAACTACCTAGTTAACATTCTTCTCTTTCCGTTTTTTGCCAAATGTTTCATAAATAAATCTCTTAATTACATACATTCTTCTATTTAAGATTAAATTGAAAATACTGTATTAGCAAAAGTATTGGGACTATCTAAACTTCCACACATGGATAAATCTGATTTGGAGAGAGAAAATTAGAATTTTTAATAAAAGGTGATGTCTACATTTTCAAGTAATTTTTAAAAGAGGGAGACGGCTTTGGATGCTTTTGTGTAGTTTAGCCTTAAGGTAGACTTCAATAAAAGATGGTGATAGTCATTACAGAGTCCGAGGAAGTTATTCGGTCTAGCCTCTGGAGCCATTTTCACCCTGCAGTACACAATGGGAAAATTAACAGCATTAGTGAGAAATGTCAGCAGAGTTTGTTAGAACAATAAACTACTTACTAAGATGTGTTCGCTTTTGAGGGATACTTTCTGTCAGAAGTGAAATCATCACCAGAACTGGGCCTGTTAAGAAGAAAAAGGTTTTGTTTAATTTTTATGACAATAAACTTCAAAAAAAAGGCCACACTGGCTGCTATCATAGTATCCAGGTATGCATTAAAACACTAATGATGATCAGCACTGAGGCTCTATTTATCTTGAGTTGTCGTACTATGAAGTTTGTCAGAATGGTGCTGGAGGACCAAAGTCGCTTAAGAGAGAAAGTCTATAGGCCAAGTCCATGAGTTTCAGTGCACAGGCAGGTCAATAGAGTTTTCATGGACTACATAACTTACCAGGGTTAATTTTCATCTTTTCATCACATAGACTCAACAATACAGAATAGTCTGCTTTGCAAGGACTGTGTAGGCTAGTCTTGAGAACAGGTGTTCAAGTGAGCAAAGTTTGTTAGGCTGTATAGGATAGGTGACACAGACCCCTTTACAGCCTCTCTGCTCCCACCAGAGGTGACAGGAAGCTCTACATAACACAAAAAAAGCTTGAACATAGGAACACTACAACTGCCAGAAAGCTGAGGAGAATCAAGAAGAGAATGGTTTCAGATCATGGCAAGAGCTAGTTTTCTTAGTTAAGTGGGTTATTTTTAGTTGTACAGAACATTGAGATGATCTAACTCTTTTCAGTAGATGGCACAGTGGGCTTAGTATTCAGAAGTCATGTTCTAGTTGGGGTTCATGATCCCTCTGTCAGTAATTTTTCCTTAATAAAAGTAAACATTGGTTAGAAGACAAATAGCATGTATTCCCTTCTGTGCTATTTACAGAAGGCTCAATTCATGGAAATGCATACCCTCCAGTGCAGTTCTGTGACTGTCTCTTTCTTACAGGGGTATGAGAATCATGATAACAGAAAAAAAGTTGGTAAATATTATAGAAACAGTAAAGATGGTTTAGAAGTTCTCTGTGAGCAATTTGCATGTCTATAGCAGGCTTAAACCAAAGTCTACAGATCCTGACCCATTGAACTATGAGCAATTGCTATTTGCCTATCTTGCCATAGTGGTTCAAACACACTTCACTGAAGATACTTTATATTCAGCAGCTCCTCAGTTTCACCACAGAGTGTATCCTCCCTATTATTCGTTATTGGCAAAAATATACTTGCCAGAGGCAGCGGGTTTCAAAGACGGTGTTTTCTTTGAGACATAAGCACATTGCTTGAGAAAACAAGAACGTTATTATCACTTGCCCTCTGGGGGAAAGGAAATAGTTATTGCAAATTAATGTATGCTATTTTATAAATAAGCTGTTTGTGTGTATGAATTTTGCTCTAGGTAAACAGACACACACAGCATACAAAATTGCAATGATCAGACCAAATGGCCATGCTGGACATCAGAGAAAAAACACCTTGTTGCCATCAGGAGAACTCTTTCTTGCATCCTGTGGCCACACTACTTCTTTTATGTTAAAAAGTTAACTTCTGAATTTCAAGAATAAGATTATTTAATTGGTTTTCCTAACTTTTAAGCCTGTAACTTCTAGAGTCCATTTCAAATAGAAGAGTCCAGCAAGATGAAAAAGGGTTATGGTGTTCAAGGTCTGGCTGTGGGAGTTGTTAGCCCAGAGTGACATACTGAAATCAGTAAATAATCCTAATTATGTTATGATGACACAGCACACAACTGCCTTGTTATAAATTTTTTCTTAATTGCATACATACTATATTTAAAATTAAAATATAGATACCAGTTTACCAAAGATACATATTACTAATTCTAAGCAAAAAATAAAAGAAACCCAAACATCATAATTTAAGAAAAAATAATCAAAATGTAGTTTGTCTTAAGAATTTAGCAGTTATACTGGAAAATACATTTTCAACTCCTGTGTTCTAAAATTTATGTTCAAATGGTGCCAGTGAATTTTTATATGAAGGGAAAATGCCTGCTTTCTTTTTTTTTTTTTTTTCTTTCTTTTTAACAGCTGTAATTTCACTTAACCCTTTGCACTTTCCTTTAGTTGCCATTTAACATACACTATTGGCTTTACTTATCTCTGGAAAGAAGGCATGCTACAAATAGGAAGGAATTGTAATATTTGGACTCTTCTTTGTCTTAGCTGTTAAACTGTTTTTAGTATTTTTGTTAAATATTTGCAAAGGGAAGCATTTTCTACAGAGGATAATTAATTTCAAGAAAAATATCTTGAGTTTTAAGAAATAAACATCTCCAAAAAAGGAGACAGTCAATTTTATAAAATGTCGCAACTCTCCAACATTTGGGGTAGTGACTCCTTTTTTGTTAGGACATTTGAAACTAGCAAGCAGCCATCGTTTCTAAAGAATTCAGCCTTCACGTTGACCCATATTTCTTTTACTTCATTTTGAAATAGCTAAAATCATTAAAACTGTAAATATTTTGTTGCTTGGGTAAGCATCTTCTGGGAACTTTGTATCTATGGTATATAATCATAGAATTTTATATTTTCATATAAAGCTAATTTTTTTCTAGTTTCAACTCCGTCATAGTTTTTTTTTTTTTTTTTTTTTTTTGGGGGGGATATGTGAGTTCAACTTTCTGGGTTTTGAAGTAGCAAGAACCATCTTTGCATTCCAAAAGAATCCAACACGTGTTATTTCTTTGAGGCAGTGATTGTGAAAGTTGGGTTTTCTTTTTAATTCCATTGACCATTTGTGCAATAGGAATTAGACATAATTAGTCATCGAATACATTCATTGCATTGACTCATCTGGAAAAAGTGGTTTGTTTTTTTATTTGTTCAGGGTGGGGGAGGGATTTTGTAACCTGAAATTTTCCCCTTTTTTCTTCTGTTTAAAACTATATCAAATCATTCTATTATAGTGTTATTTAATATGTAAATTGTATTGCTAAAATAAAGTATGGTTTTTGATGTATTCATTAGTCTTGAGCATTACTATGAAAAATGTCTATATCTAATAAAATGAAGTCACTATCTCCCTTAACAGATCTCATTAATACCCACCAGCCCTCTGTCTTAGTTTTCATGGTAGTAAAATGAACATTAGTCATTTTTACATAGGCAGCAAACCAAAAAGAAGTGTCTGGGTTGACTTAATGTTCTTCCTCCTTTAAAGAGTAAACAGTGACAGAGTTTTACCAGCATATTGAATTAAACCTCATTCACTTTATGATGTGTTGCTAAGTTGTAAACAGAATTATTATCTTCTCCAGCATAATAGATTTGGAGCAACTTCTCCTTCTTAATATTTACTATGTAGGGTGAAGGATTTATCCTGGCAAGACTTTTGGAGAATCTATGTAATATATATATGATCAGTACAATTGCTACTACTTACAAGGAATTTTGATACTTCCAACCAAACAGGTACACAAATCCTGAATTTGGCAGCTTCGGTCCACCATTCTCTGTTAACTTTTACTGGCTCCAGAGCAGGTGCTCAACTTTCACTAACAGGGCCTCAGTTTTTCTTTCCATAGAGATAAGAGCTATTATTTCATTTTCCCTAAGTAATTAGGAATTTAACAAACAATGTACTAATCCTTCCTAGGTGTATGTAGAAGACAGAACAATTTGGCCCAAAAGAATGACTTTCTAATGATATAACCCTAGAGTTCCTCAAATTATACTCATAGGGACCTTACTATTCTGTATCAGAGTATACCAGAGGTCATAAATTGAGTCACAAATAGATCGTGTTCAGTCCACAGATATATTTTATTTGTCCCATAATTTAAAAAATTTGTATTAGTAACCAACATTTTAAAAAATGAGAACTTTTACATTAAGATTCAGATTTCAAGCTCCCTTCAAAAATGGCAGCAGTGTTACAACAGCAGGCTCAGTTTCTCATGGCAATAACAAGCTGGAGAGGGGCAGTAGCTTCCCCTTTTATGTGGGGTATGTACTCTCCAGTTCACCAATGTCTACCATCTCTCCCTCTTACCATATGTCTGGCCATCGTCAATAATTTAATTAACCTGCCTCAATCCCGTGAGCAGATGCCTCACAGGATCTACAATAAGAATTTTGGAACTATCTTCTATCTCAGGTTGGTAAATGAACAAACAAGAGCAGCAGTAGAAGTACAGGTTGAGTATCCCTCACCTGAAAATCCAAAATACTAAAGTGAACATATCCTTTGAGAATCATGGCATCCAAAAAGTTTTGGATTTTGGACCATTTCACGTTTTCAAATTAGGAATGCTCAGTCTGCATTTATATCAGTCTTCTGTCATTAAAATCCTAGACAGTCAGCATGCAATAAAGTGGGCTCCCACATTCCTAACTACTACTAAGTCTACTTAAGATGATTCCATCAAGCAGCAGTTATGACTATTTAAAATAGCAAATTAATTTTCTACTCCATGGCTTTTACTGTCCAGGATAAAACCCTAGACAAGGAAGCTTCATTTCTGCTACTAAGAATGGCACAAAGAAATGAGTATAAAAAGCCACTGGTCCAAAACTCCATTTTTAAATGGATAATTGTGGGACTTTAAGAACTGTAAGATTTAAAAAGAAGTCACTACTAACCATACCTGGATTTAGAGACAATATTAAAGACACTAGCTTTATATTTTTGCCCATGGACATAGCAAGCAAGCACTAGAAGAAGGGAACAAGAAGTTGGTTACTTCCAAGTTAAAATTGGCTTTTGTGACTATGAACATTATGAAGTTAAATTTGGCAGGGAAGAAAATTATAGTAGCAGTTTATCTGAATGTAGCAACTGTGTTGCTCGTAAGTTGAAAAAGAAATAAACTTTACTTGATTTGTGGTAATTTGAAATCATCTGACTTTTGCACTTATTGGCCTATAAATTATTTCCCTTTCCCACCCCTACATTTGCAAGGTGTAAAATCAGCCTTTGCGGCAATATCCAGTGGGCCTTGCAAAGCTTAGGAGAACCTTATAAACTAGAGACATCTTTAGCATTATGTTAGAATTCATACCATAAGCATTTGCTGAATGTCTACTATAGACCATGTTAGGTGTATATTCTGTATAGAATGTAAAGTTGTTGACAGAAACATTTCAAGTCAGATGAGGCAAAGATTACAATTTTGTCTTAAAAATTAGTTCTTCCATTTATTCAAAAATATTTATTTAGCACTTTTTAGTAGAGACAGTTTTTAGCAAAAGAGTAAAAAAGATAATTGTGCAGCAGCACAAGCAAACAAGTAAAAACTGTAACCATACACATTCCCTATCATACACTGCACTCACAAAATTCTATTTATTCTATATTAAATAGTTACTGGAACTTAGAAAGCATTTTCCCATGGGGAAGAAAATGTTCAAGAATGAGGACTACAGAGTCAAACAACCAAGGGTTCCAGTCAATTCTGCCACTTACTGACAGTGATTTGGGGCAAATTACTTCACCTTTCTAAGCACCATTTTCCTCATCTGTAAAATATACAAACTAATGTTTACCTCACAAGACTGCTGTGAGGAGTAAATGAGATGATGCATGCAAAGATCTTAGGATAGTACATTGTAAACACTTAATATTAACCATTATAAGTATCTTATACTCTTGCTTTATTTAATTGCTTAACAGACTTTTTGCCAATTATTAAACAAAAAGTCAAATACCTTAGTTTGTCCAGTTAAAAAGTAATATCGAGAAATTGCCATCACTAATGAGAAAGCTCACCAAGTCAAATTAGATCCAAGGGAGGTGGATGGGGATGAAGGTGGACGGTGGAAGCAACCGATACATCCTACAAACCAGAAACGAGAGTGGCAGAAGCGGGAAGTGGACAACTATACATGATGGGCCAAAGCTTGAATTTCTCTTCTAATCCTTTAAATCTCTTAGGGCTTCCCCAGAAAGTTTTTTTAAGAAAAAAGGTCCATAATTTCAGAAAAGTGAAACAGAAGGCTTTATAATATTTGTTAATGTCAAGCATCAAGTATAGAATATTGCATAGTACTATGAAAAAGGTGAACACTGTTGTTTCTAACACTAGCAACAGTGCTCTATCTCTACCCCAAAATCCTATAAACCAATATAAAGTGAAACTTCCTTTCTCTTCAGCTGATTTTTATCTTCCATCTCTCTCACTACTTTCAATAGATCACTGTCATTATCATACCCATCATCATCCTTCCACCCTGGACATACTTGGCCTCATTAGCCACTCAGTATTGTATCATGAAGAAGTGGCCACAAAGTAGAAGCATTCCCTGTATTTGTAGCATATTCTTAAAGCCTATAAAGTACTTCTTTTCAGAGTACCTCACTATATAAATAAGATCAACTGTTTCCTATGCCAAAACCTTATTGATTAAAGAAAGAAAGAATTAGATTAAATGAGTTATAGTTATTTTCCTTATAACTCCTGGTGTTTTAATAAAATTTAAAATATATTCCAATATTTAACATTTTCATGACTCATGAATCCTGACAATGTTTCAAAATTGACCATTTATAAGATAACTAATATGGATGAGTGTTACAATAGTATACTAGGTATAAAACATCATTTTTCAGGCTGAGCCCGTGGCGCACTCGGGAGAGTGTGGCGCTGGGAGCGCAGCAGCGCTCCCGCCACGGGTTCAGATCCTATATAGGGATGGCAGCTGCACTCACTGGCTGAGCGCGGTGTGGCTAGTCTCAAAAAGAAAAAAAAAAAAACCCATCATTTTTCATAGAAAGATGCATGAAAAGATGAACAATCATGTGCACTTAAATGGAACTTTATTATTTATTAGGACACCTTATGTTGGGACAAAATTCTCACATTGTTTAAGAATATTTGAACTGGATTTTGTGTCAGAACATTCCAACATGTTTAATATAGCGAGTCCCCCACCATCCGTAATTTGGTGCAGTTTCACTTTCCATGGTTTCAATTACCCACAGTCAACTGTGGCCCAAAAGTATTACATACAATAAGCTACTGAAAGAGAGAGGGACACCACATTCACATAATTTTTATTGTAGTATATTGTTATAATCATCTTATTTTATTATTAGTTATTGTTGTTAATCTCTTACTGTGCCAAATTTACAAATTAAATTTTATTATAGGTATGTATGCATCGGAAAAAAAAATAGTATATACAGGGTTCACTAATATCCACAGTTTCACACATCCACTGGGGATCTCGGAACATATCCTCTGCAGCTAAGGGGGGACTACTGCAGTTCATTTCTGTGATTTTCTTGTAATGTTTCTCTCACCTCACCGTTAAGAAACATGCTGAGAACTATCTGGGGTCTGAAAAATGCAGCTCCCTTAGGAACTTTTGCTGAGTGGAAATTAGGGTTTGAAGGGATTTCTCCCTACCTCAATATCTGCTATTTCCCCTGTCTCCCCTTGGATTGTCGGATTCAACTCATATCTTCAATATCTCAGTGTTAGCACTCCAAGCTTCTGTTAAAGCTCTTTTTTCCTCCACTTATAGCCTCTGTCCCCAGGTAATTCCATCCATCCCTTGGAATTAAATATTTTCTATATGTAATCACTCCCAAAGTATATATCTAGCCTGAACCTATAACCTGAACTCCAGATTCATATCCAATTAAATATTTATTATCTCCATTTGTAAGTCTAATAAGCATCCCAAACTTAACATGACAAAAGCACCACTCAAAATTTTCCCCTAACCTGTTCTTCCCCCAGTCTTCTACCATCTAAGTAAATAGCAATAGCATCAAACTGTAAACCTAGTTGTCGTCCTTGATTTCTCTTTATTTTCTGCTATTTAGTAATAAGAAATGATCCAATTCTTAAACATAGGCAAAATAGTTGAGCAGATACTTCATCAAAGATATACAGATGGCAAGCAAGCACATAAAAAGATGCTCAATGTCTTTAGCCATTAATTAAATGCAAAATAAAGCCACAGTGTGATAATACACTTATAGAATCAGTAAACTTGAAGATAGTTCCATATATA